GCACGCATTGGCTCAACCAGAACAGTGTGCTTGTGATTTCGATTAACAGTGATTTGCTACGGCCGAAAATCCAGTTTGCGAACTCATTCCATTGACTTCCTCGTTCATGTCAATCCAAATGCAATAAATAATATCGAGTTCTTATCAAGTTTCACTTAGCTCACAATTCTGCTACTATGGTTCTTGTTTTGGCCGAGTTTTATCGTGGATAGAAGTAACACGTGCTCGTTTGTTTCGACAGATTTTCGTTTTGCTATTTCTAGCAATTGTTTTGTTTCGAGTCGAGCTGAGCAGGAAGCCAAGTGTGTGTGAGTGAGAGTGCGAGAAAGGTCATGGTATTTACGTTGTTGTCAGCGGCCATGGATTGCATAATATACCATTGAGTCTGAAGCTGCGTGCTGAAGCACTGTTTCGACTTCTGTTTTCTTTACATGGCTTACTTTGACTTTTGATCCAATGGCACAGCGTTCGGCATTCCGAACTGTGGCTTGAAACACTGAAATTGGCATTCAATTGACTATGTGTTAACAATCATCGAAAAACATACAAAAGATTTGGAGAAAAAAAAACGAATCGAGAGACAGAGAAAAGTAATAATTTTTCGCATAACTTGAGTCATCAGTTCGATTTAAATTGATTGAACCGATCGGCAGCCACTCGGACTTGAACGCATTTCAAAAGTTTTAAAGTCTGAAGAAGCGAGAAAAACTCTTGGAATAAGCCGTAAATACGATTGACCGAATGCAAAGTTTGAGGTTCTCTGAGAGACACAGAGGAATGGAAGTAGAGAGAAAAAGAGAGAGAGAGAGAGAAAGAGAGAGCAAAAATAGCGGCATGAAAAAAATGGAAGCAAATGGCCATGAACAACATCTACGACAATAATCGGGTCTGTTTGTTTCATCTTTGTCTCAACAAGTGCGAATTTTCCCCCAAGACATTTTCAGACACGAACGACAAAACAACTCTACCAGCGCAGCAAAAATAAAGCACCTAAACTGCAATAGCTACCAAACGCGCGCTCACTAAACTCGAAATGGTCAGAGGAAAAAGCAACACAATAAAATTGTGCATATGAAGATGGCAAAATATGACAAAAAAGTGACACTGAGCAAGCGACTGCTGAGGAGAGTAGACACAAGAAAAGAAATGTACTGAAGAAGTCACAGAGAGAGAGAGAGAGAGAGAGAGAGAGAGAGAGAGAGCGGAAAAGAAGAAACAAAACGACAGAAGCATAGCATAAAAAGCAATAAAAATAACCAGAGACACAACTATCCATGCACAAACAGTGGAAGAGAATGTGTGGTGCTTAGGCATGGACGCGGGAGCCGGTCGCTCACAACAAGAAATAAACAAGAGAAAAAGAAAATAAACAGCGTGTTCGTCCACCAAATGAATAAAATGTATTTTGGGAGAGAGAAGACGGGTCATTCATAAAAGCCGGGTAAAATGTACAGAGGGCGACAACATGAAGTACCAACACCACACATACACAACATCGAACATGTAACAATGCGAGAAAGAGACTTTTGGGTGCTGATGAGTTATGTAGACGACAATATGTCGCTTTCCGTGAATTGCATTTATGTGGCTCATAAAAGTTTTTCTACGATCCACACCGAAAAAAAAACATTATTTGTTCTGGATTTTTCTTTTTTTCGACATCTTTCAAGAGAAGGAGAGAGCGGGAGAGGAAATTTACTGAGCGTATGAGGATAAAAGAGAGAAGACCAGCACTGAATGGAAGTAGAGGAGAAGATACTAAGATAATAAGAGCGAATGTACTGAGAACGGTAATTTCTTGGTCTGTTCGGGATTGGAATACCGTCATCACACGCCTTTCCAAAGCACTCCATCATAAACGTACACAATGCTGGTGGAGTCTTCTTCTAACGCGATTTTATTCATTCATTTTTCGAAATGTTTACCTAAACCTTTCGGAATTCATATTTACTCAAGACTTTTTGTACTGAACAACCAAAAATGGGAGCCTTTTTCATTCCACGTTTGATCGCTGCAAAAAATCGATTCAAAAACGAGTTCCGTCATTCAAATGCATCCATCAACGATTGTATGTCGTATAGCCATCTAGTACATTTGCTTTTGAACAGGAAAACCGCCTTGAAATTGCAAACAAACTCCATTTGCAAGAATTAAAAAAATGGCCGTGCAAAGAGTCAGAAATAGTCGTGCAAAGGAAATGAAAACCGCCGATCGAAGAGGTAAATTTACTTGTGTTAAACATAGGCAAAGAATGAAAGCAGCCGAGTTAAGTGCCAATTGTCACAGAACGGCGACCGAATGACATCACACAATCATTTTTAGAGAGTGAATCGATTCACTTCACCAGTGTGAACAAATGAAGCAAAGCAGTTGTGTTGAATCGATGGCCAACAAGTCGCTGCTTGGTTGGCCTACAATTCAACAAGCTTTTGATTCGAAGTCGGTTGAAACTGGTTTGAATGACAATTGAAACAAATGTTACTTTTGTTTTCTTCAAAAAGGAGGAAAAACTGAGGAACCAATTTCCAACTATCAAAAACATTTGAAAGCAGAAAAACAAATCCATAAAATTAGCTCAATCACACGAGTTCCGTTTATTTTATTCGAAAATCAGTTATCATTTCAACTAACTAAATTAGACATTGAAAAAAAACGCATACACACACAAATGGATCGGCAAAGTTTTCGAAACGGAAATTTTCGGCAAACTTTTGACTGTTTTTTTTCTGTGCTGTTCGTCTTCATTCGAAATGATTGTGTTTTGGGTTGAAATGTAATTTGTTGTGTTGTTTGCGCCATGGCCTTTGGCATTATATGCAAAATTGCACTAATAATGAGTGCGCCCCGTTTCTCTTGTTCATTCGACGAATGGTTTTTTTTCTCTCTATTCGTCTTCATTGTTGAGTGCTGCTTCCCGTTCATTTTGATTTTCGTAAATTTAGTTGTGTATTTATTTTTTGACTTTGGGAAAGTTACAATTTGTGTTTATTTTCGCCGTTTTCCGTTTTTTGGCTGATTTTGTTGCTGTTGTTGTTCGATCGCGTTTTTTTTATTCATATGCTCACGTTCCCTTTACCAATCTGACAAGTTGTTCGGGCCTCGGTTCAAGTACACAACTAATGCAAATGCTTGATTGTTTGTATATTTGTTACGTCGTTTTTTTCCATTTATTCATTTACTCTCTCTCCCTCTCTCTCTCTCTCTCAATCTTGCACAAACTTTAACTAATTGTTAGTTTTGTGTGCTGTGTGCTGTATGTGTATCCTGTGCACTTCTTTTTCAGTCGTGGAAAAAAAACCAAACTGTTTTTGATTTTAAATTCGCGATTCCGTTTTTCTTTTCGTTGCTTGCTGCTCAAGCGCTCATCCTTCGTTCACAAATTTTTCAAATGCATTGCCATCCAAAGGCAAGAACGGCACAGACAACCAGAGAGATTTTCGTATTATTCAACACTGTGTATGTTCGGCTCAATTTCAGTGCGCTCGACACATATAAATATAACGTATATGCAAATGATAATAGTATCTTGTTTTAAAGTTTGTCTTTTTAATTTTGTTTATGGCGAGGCCATTGTTCGAATTTCGGGCGGTTGTGTTTTTATTTCTCGGTTCCTAACACACGGGCCTTCGGTCTGGGCACGTTGGAATGGAACAATGATAGAGACGAAGGGAGAAAACACACAGACAGAGGAACACCAGGAACATACATACAGAAAGAGAGAGAGAGAGAGAGAGAGAGAGAGAGAGAGAGAGAGAGAGAGAGATAGAGATAGAGAAAGAGCGGAGAGAAGGAGAAAGGGAAACAAGATCGAGAGAAAGAGGGAAAAAAACTTTCGTCGACTTTCGAGTGAGAAATTAGCGCGAACATAGAAAAAAATCGAATACAAACGAGATTCCCATCGAAATAAGGAAAATCTGAATAAATGAATTTACGGAATTACAAAAGGAGTCATCGGTGAATAAAAAACGTATTCTACTCGTCGAATCCGGAAAGGGGAAGGCAAGCACGCACATTTGCCATCGACGACGACAACGACGACAACATGAACGAAACGACGACTGAAAAAAAAATGAAACGAATACTTACTACCGTTTTCATTGTTATTTATTTTGATAGTATTTTATTTTAGCGAGTGCTCACGAATAGTCGCGCCCGAATGGGAGTGAGACACACAGAGAGAAAAAAAATCTGTTTGTAATTGCAATTTATTTAACTTTCTTATAAGTTCTCCGCCTCTATTGTTGCGTCCAGTGAATCTGGAATTTTGCTGCTTCCGACCAGAATGACATTTTTTTGTCTCTCTTTTTCTCTCTCCTGTGAAAAAAAGAAGCGAATCGCACTGAACTCAACTTGTTGTGCATGGACAACCACACTCATCTACCGGCATATGACAAATGACTTACAAAAAAAAAAAATACGGTTCCGTTTTCCACCGCTTTTTCTTTCCGTCCATGCGTTTTATTATTTTTGTGAACAAATTTGGTAGATTCGCGTAAGTACTTTTCATTTAGATGATACTAGTATCTTTCTGCTTTGCTTGCCATATCATCTGCTTTGCCCGTTGTCACCCTGCCTTCTGTCGTACTCAGTTCAGTTCTTCGTTCGCCTATTTTTCTGCCCCCCGCCCTCTTGTTCGAATCGCTTTTCCAGTTCAAAAATGTTAATTAAGCTAATTGATTTATAAAAATTCCCATAAAGTGTGCAACTCTTTTTCTCTGGTTGGCAAGTGTCTTTTTTGTTGGGTTCGGTTGGCCGATTACGATTTTTCGATATGCTGGCAAACGAACTCAACTACCCAATTTCAGTAAGTCGATAGTCATTGAAATTATGTCGTCTCTTTTTTTCCTCGGTCGTATGTTGGTTTTTTCAGCTCGCACACTCTTTGGTCGAAGTGCGACTATGACCACGCGCGCTCAGTGCCTCGCGCGTGCATTCTTTTCTCGTCGATATACAGAAAGAACAGAAAAAAATTGTGTGCATATTACACAAAAAATACTCACCTCATTGGTATTCCAGCGATGTCGTTGAGTCGGAAAATGATCAGCACGTGGTAAACTTTCCAAGTTATCCGGAAGCTTTATCGGTTCGCCATCTGAAAATTGAATAGAAAACGCACAAACGAAATGAGTTACAGAGACGAAAAAGAGAAGAAGAAGAAGAAGAAGAAGAAGAAGAAAAATTGTCGTCACGAAGAGAACGGACAAAAAGAGCAGAAAAAAATATGATTAAATTAGTTTCAAAGTGCTCGTTGATGCAAGTTTTGTTCCCCCACGTTGTTGTTGTTCCGTGCTCTCTTAAACTTGATTCAATTTAGAGAGTCGCCTACTATTTTCGATTTTTAATTTGCAAGATTACATTTTTTTTTGCTGGTTAAGTGAATGTACCAGAAATTAGCTACAACAACAAAATGAGGGATAGAGAGGAATGAGTTTAAGTTTTGTTCTTTGCCGAAGTCAACCCTTTTCGACGACGATGATGATGACGTACATTATTGGATAACAACTTATTCGATCGTAACGAATGGATGCATTTTCATCGAGCGCAAAATCGTTCAATTAACGAAATCCAGAGGATTTTGTCCCTCGTTTTGTCGTCTGAAAGCCGTATCGTTGATTGATACATCAGCGACCAATTCACTGATTGGCCATTCGTTTTGCTTGGATAGCACTGCATTTCTGACTACCACCAAAAAAAAATCGTCACCACTTTAAACGTCTGTTACACCCATCACTTGATGAAAATGCTCAACACTTTACTAAAACTGTCTGAGAGCTGCTTCTTGTGTCCTGGCGAATCATGTTCTGTCTCTTGTATTCTTATGAATTTTAAGCTGTAAATGAACTTTAAGGCTTGTATTGAACATTTCAATATAATGAGAAAGAATTTCGAATATCCAAACTCATTACAAATTAATTGCAATTTGGCGTAGTTATTGAATGCACTAAGAAAAACCATTCATGGACAATTTAATCTTACTTTTTTATCAATATTAATCTTGAATCTTTCGAGGTTTTTCCCTGGATATTCAAATTGTCGACGATTTTTCCTCCGTATCTTTTCGTTGGAAGTGAATTGATATTACAAAATTATAAATTGAAATTTCAATTCGCAATTTTCATTATCAATTCTCATGGCCAATTTCCAATTTCATATTGAAAAAATGACTTACTAATATTTAAAATCATTAGATTTTGATCCAAAGAGACATTCGATACGGTCATTCGCACTGCATTAGAATGAAGATAGGAAAAACCAATGGAAACCACTTAGCCGATACTAAAAAAAAGTCCATTTCATACAGGACACTGTTTATTTAAGTCAGAGAAGGAGAAAACCCCACATAGCGTTATCCATATTAACATATGTAATTTGGCATAATTTCTCTCATAAATATACGCAATTAGCGGAGCATTTTTTCTTGTTCGCTTCATAATTTTCCGTTCGTTGGTGTGTTTTTTTCTAATAGACATAGTCGGTTATCATGGCGCAAATCTGCAAGTCCATCGCCGAAAAACTCTACTATTTTTTCCCCTTTAATTCGTCCAAAAAAAAAACCAACCGCTAGCCTTCAGTAGCCAATGAGAATGCACGTAATATAAATCATAACTTTATTTTTTTTTATTTATTTTTTTAAAAAATGTGTTCGAAAAAATATTTATGTGGTTTGATGCGTCTAATCCGTTTCCACGTCGGTAAATCAGCGCTCAACATATCAAAAACGCTTGCTCTAGCCGTACACAAATGCAATACATTTTCGACTCTCATACACTTTTATGTGCACAAAGTGAATAGAAATCGGACAGCATTTCTTCATTTTCCCCCATTCATTCCATTCCTTTGGCCTATTCGTGTTCAACACAAACGAAAATCCAGCGTTTTTTCTTTCGGAAACGGTGGCCCCGAAAAGTAAAAAAAAAAATGGTCCAAAAGTCGTTGATCACAAATAATTGCCTCGAAATATCTAAGCCACATTTTTGCATTTTTCCATAAATGGAAAATTTTCTTTATGTTGACCAAAGACACACGAAAGAAAAAACAACCACGAATGAAAGATAGAGAGAGAGAGAGAGAGAGAAAACCAGCCCCAAAACAATTTCGCTGAAAAGCACTTTGAATTATTTGCATTTCGTGTGTAGTTCAATGTGTGAATATGCACGTGAGTGCGTGGCATGTTTGTTGTGCCCGGATAGTGAGTGCATTTTATATATTCAAAACATTTGGACGAGAGAAAAAAAAGGCCTCATGGCGAGCAAACATTCGGTGCTCATTTTTGACGAGCGCCGAAAAATGTGATTCATTATGCACATTGTTCTGCCACGTCGGCACAGGCCACATAAGTGATCGAGGAGGAACGAAGACAAAAAAAAAACGGGTTTTCGTGGGCATTTTGAAAACCGCTTTTTTTTCAAATCATCTATAAATCTCGTCAATTATCATAATTAGCATTTATCAAGGCGACGACCGAAGTAGAGAATCGCGAAAATTCACTTGGAATAAATCATCAACGCGCACCGTTGGCTAAAAACCAACAAAATGTGTGTGTGACTCGAAACTGAATTCATAAATTCACATGCTCTTTGAAAATTATTGCTCCAAAGTCTCTCTCACTCATGAAAAATTGGTTAGAGTAAACCATTTAAATCGACGAACAAAAAATGGAGGTAAAAATCGGTTTGAACGAAAAATGTTGATGCATCCTTTGGAAATAAATTCACGAGAGTGCATTAGAAAATAAATGAAATACTTGAAAATAGCATTGCACACAGGAAAAACCATGCGAAAAACTAATGTGATTGTAAAAAAAGATTTTGCTGAAAATAATCGCGAGAAAAACATCAAACGAAATCAAGACAAAAAAAAATTGTTCAAGAGTTGAAATGAAAAGTGCATCGAAAATGCGATTACATTTAACCATTTGTTTGCCGCTCTTCGCCTTTTTTCCATCTGATTTTGAAATTCACTTCATTTGTTGCCTTTATTCCGGCTTATTTGTGCCACGAAAATGGAAAATTGAATCGTTGCCGAGCGAAAATTGACTGAATTGAAATGCATTCGAAACAGAGACTCACTTCGAAAGAGTTGAAGTTTTTGCCGATCAGTTGGAGAATATTTTTAATCGATGAACCGTTTAAAGATGGTTCGTTTCTTCGTTTGTTCGTTTCATTCTCTCCATTTGAAATGTTTCTGTTACATTTTGCCTCTATGTAAATGGCACAAAATAATACTTGACATCTAATTTTAAAGACAGGCCAAGTATTTTAATGGCTCATTCGGAAATTCACCCATGCACATGCACTTGCGAGTGATCGCTTTGTCTATGAGTTGACGTCGCCGATGGAGTTTGGTTCACAGTAATTTCCATGCTTATTGCATCCATACCATTGTCGTCAGTTTTTCTCCCTTTTGGATGGCGAACAACTAATGCATCCGAATTGTGTTGCTTGATAAAAGTCAAGTGTTTCGACGACATTCGCATAAATGTACTTATCGGAATAAAATTTACTAGATAAAAGTATACGTTTATTGTCGAGAAAATTCGTTGTCTCCCACTTGCATCTCAAATTTCATGCGGGTGTGGGGAGCAATTTGAAAAATTAAATAAAAACATATGTATATGGAGGAAGAAACAATAACATAAGAAAAGAAAAAGCAGCGAATTGTGTTTGTTCATATGTGAAGGGATCGTCGAGTGTACCATTTAAATTACGATGGAAAATGAAAATAACTGAAGACACTAAAAAGGGCTGGCGGATGACATTGGAAAGTAGGGCCACAAAATACATAAGATGGTAAAACAATCAGCAAGGAACTTGAGAGAGTAAGAGAGAGAGAGAGAGAGAGAGAGAGAGAGAGAGAGAGAGAGAGAGAGAGAGAGAG